TGACAGTTGTTATACCATCACTGTCTAAAGAAGGCCCTGAACAAAAGTTACGTATTAGGTACCTATTTAACTTTTCTTTTTAAGTGTCAGTTTGGATTTAATTCAGAGACTCGCATAGTTATCACGGATATGATGCGTATTTCTGGCTTTGTCCATCATGACCAGCGTCGAATTGGGCCAAAGATAGATTGGGCCGTTGATCTACCGGTCAAAAGACCGATAGGCACTCGTTCACTAAGTGGACCCGCGGTCAGGCAGAGAAGAACAGACAAAGAATTAAATGCAAGAAACCCTGTAATACGTAAAAGGAACTTCTTTTGCTCTTCAATGAAAATCGGACTATGGAAAGGGTGAAACATTTTTTTTTCCTGACCGATACGTCCTGGAGGTCCTAATCCGAAATTGATCATGACCTACTTAAGTATTTAATTCAGAATAAATTCCATTATTATTCCTGCTTATTTTTTTCATTTTCTGTAACTAGCTTCTCAGGTTATATCACAAGAAAGTGGGCTGTGTTGTATGATTAATTTTACCTACCATTTTATTCTTACCTGCAGATTTTATTCTATTTCGATTAATTTTATATTTTCTTCGATGTAGGACTGTGTTGTTCAATGAATTTTCTAAAAAAAATTATGAATTATATTAATTCAAATTGTACAAAACCTACGGAATGAGATGTATACCTTTAGCTTTGACCAATTGGTCCCACAAAATCTTCTCGATGGCATCTTTCCCAAGTTTTCCAAATTTTTTCAGACTTAGATTCTAAAATATAGGTGTACCTACTGGTATTCTGTTTTTTCTTACTCTTCGTAAAGTCTGTTAGATGCATTGTCAAATCATCGAATGTAGCTATTCTAAGGTCGTTCATTTTTATGCTGTCGTAGTAATAAAATGTTTCTAAACTTCTCTAAAAATAAACATTAACAAAACATATTAATGTTAACTTTAAATGCTTTTGCTTACCGTATCTGTAACTGAAAAGACAACCACATTGGTGAAGAGGAACACCATAGCCGCCTCCACTTTTCTCGGTTTGATTATATTAAATTTCTCTCTCATTTTAAATGATCCGTAATCCATTTTGCTAATAGGACTGTGTTCAATGGATTCAATGGCGACTGAATCATTTCCTTTAGACATTTCATCTCTAACGATGACCAAAGCAGTTTGAGTATTTTCAATAGGTAAATCTAATTTTTCTAATTGTTTTTCTATATTCTCTAAAAATAGAATATATTTTCCGAGTCTTTGTACTGGGGTTAATAGATAAGCAGAAAAATCCAACCTTTCTTCGAACTTTTCCTGCATCTCCTAAATGTAAAGATACATTTTTTTAATAGAACATATTCAGTGTAAAACAACTCCTGATTAAAAGGTATTAATAATTGTTACTGTTAAAGAGAATTTACCTTAATAATTGGATGAAACTCTTTTATTAATGTATCCGACTTTGGTTTATTTCTAAAATAGGTAGGATACAATTCGAATAGCAGTTCCTAAAAGTTAATAAAAAAAATATGAGTAGGTACATCTAAACAAAACTAATTTTTAATTTTTTTAAAATATTTAAACCTACATATTTAAGGTTAGTCGTGAGGAACTTAACATACTTCTACCATATGCAGAGTCCCATAGCATTAAAAAGTGTTGCTGGATTAAAAGTTAATAATTTCACGATAGGCTTCGAAAAAATTAATCTTAACGTTTTTTAAAAAATGCTTTTTTCTACTACCGTGCGTAAAGTACGTACTTTACGCACTCCACGAAGTGTGTAAAGTTGTACTTTTTTTCACTAGTGCGTAAAGTAAAACTCTTTACGCACTAGTTAAAAAAAGTAAAATTTGACAAAATTTATACATAACAACAAAATATAACGTTTTATCACAATACAGCTCCACAACTCCGTGTCGGCGTCTTTGATCTGGCGGTCGAGAACCAAGCAAGACGGAATGGTGGTATCTCTGTTAGATTCGAGGGAAAAGTCGGGCCCGGATTAAACAATTTTTTTATTATTGAAAAAATTGAAAACCTTGGCGTAATAAGGTTGGTTACATGCCATATTAAGTAAGTTTTGGGAAATTAAATTGTTAATTTGTTTTAAATCTGTCAAATATAATTAGAATTTTTAAACCTGAATAAATGCTTCCAAATAAGCTTTAGTCGCAATATTAATCTGATAAAATTTCAGTATAACTTAAATAACTTAAATATTAACTCTGTATCTGATATTAAGGATTTAGGTATAATTTTTGACTCAAAAATGTTATTCAACCAACACATAGAATATGTCACAAATAAGGCAAATAAAATGCTGGGATTTATCATGCGTTCTTCTTTTGATTTTACAAATATAAACACTCTTCGTTCACTTTATATGGCATACGTTAATAGCGTATTAAGCTATGGTTCGGTTATTTGGAATCCGCAATATAATGTCTACATTAACTGTTTGGAAAATATACAATATAAATTTATAAAATTTGTTCATAAAAAAACCCTTTCACAATATACAGAAGACTTAACATTTACGCAACATAAAATGAACCTAATTCCACTTTATAACAGAAGGAAAATTACAGACATTACTTTTACATATAAAGTTTGTAACAATTTAGTAAATTCAATTCCCATTAATAGCATGATTAATTATAACGTTTCTTTTTATAATACCCGAAGCAATAATTTGTTTTACTCAGATACAAGTAATACTAATTACTTTAAAAATTCTCCTTTACATAGGTGTATTAAAACTCTCGACACAATAATGAACGTACTAGAAGTTGATATTTTTTCTATTTCCGAAAGTGCATTCAAAAATTGCTTAAAAAAACACTTTTTGTCTAGTGTACCTTAAAATCTTAAATTACGACATATTTTTTAATGTAAAATTTTTGAATTTCTGTTATAATGCAATAACTTTAGTATTTTTTCTGTTCTCTTATTTCTTATTTCACATTTATTTCGTATCTAGTGTAATAATATTTTGTTATTAATTAGGTTAAAGTTGTTTAGTTTAAACCCATTATGTAAGTAGCATTGGGAACACTTTTTTGGGTATGTCCTGTTTGTGTTCCAAACAAAATAAATAAATAAATAAACATTATTTAAATATAAATATTACGCAAAATAGCACATCTTTCGGATTAGAGGTAAAATAATTTGTATGTGGCTAGTAAAATCCTCGTTAACAAATGTTTTGAGCTAAAACAGTCACTTCACGACAAATTGTGGCTTGGATCCTTTTTACACCAAGGGCTTCAATTGTTAAAGAATTGTGTCACGCTCGTGGATGCAAATCAAGTGGTACCCCGTGTCTCTGGCAAGTGTTACTCTTCGCGCAAAGGGTTTATACCTAGATAAACGAATGCTTCGAATGAGGTCTGGGAACTCTATGGTATTTTGGAATTATAAAGAATTTGTGCTTTTATTTTAACAATATTGGTTATATTTAGATGTATTCTTATTAATTGAAATATAGATTTGTAGAAGTAATACTATGACAGTTTTTATTAATATAATATATTCAATTTTTATCTGACCATACCGAAGTAGGGAATTTTGAAACTTTATAGTAATGTGAAATTTGAATTACAATATTACACGATATTACATAATTAGTACTTATTTTAGGTAGGTACTAAATTTGTACTTGGAGAAAGTAATATCGATTTTTACAAGAAAACTTGAAAAGTAAATTAATTTAGTTCCTATTTCTGATGTAAAACTTAAGTTTTGGTTTAAACCAAGAAAACAAATAAATTATAGTTTGTTCAACAAGGGTGGATATGATAGCAATATCACACAAAGACGAAGTTTGAGCACGAAGTCGTATGCGGAGTACTCAATCGTCTGATTGTGATATGAACAATCCACTCGATATGGTCAGTATATTTTTTCTACGACCCACTAACGAAAATCTACAAATTTAAAAAATTATTTTAGGTTATTTAGACAAAATAACTAATTTTAAAATAATTTACGAAGTTGACTAATTTATAAAATAAAATTAACATGAAAAATTAATTAGTCCTCGGCCTAGATTCGATCCCGGGCTTTTCGCGTGGAAGGCAGATGTTCTGTCCTCATCTTCACCGAAACTTTCAGGACTTTAGTTTTAATACTCGTAATTAAATTAGTATCATGTAGTTTGATTAAAATTTATTTTTTTTAAATGTGGACACAATAAAAACAAAAATGCTATTATTTATCGAGTCTACACAAAAATTTTAATGTAAATTTAATATCAATAACTAAAATATATATTGACAATTAGTTTAACAGAATTGTCACTTATTTAAAAAAATTTAAATAATAGGAGTTGGGTGACCAAAATATGAACTGTGATTTGTAGATTTAATTTTGTTAAAGTGTTCTCACTACCTAAAATGGATATAAAATATATTCGTAGTTGAACGCAATAACATACTTTTTCGTTTTGTAGTATGTGCATAGATTGGCTAATATCCATGCACAGATTACAAAACGAAAAAGTATGCTATTGCTTTCAATTGAACGAATATATTTCATATCCATTCTAGGTAGTGAGAACACTGCAAAAAAAAAAAATTCGCCAATCACCGTTCATATTTTGATCAACCGACTGCTATTATTTTTAAAATTTTAAATAAATGACAATTCTGTCAAACTAATTGTCAGTATATTTTTTAGTTATTGAGATTAAACATACAATAAAATAAGTTATTCTTTTGGAAAACGTTAGCATGGATGACTAAAGGGTATTGGGTTAATTAATTCTAAAAGTGTGGTACAAATGTTATTTTTTGTAGCCAATTCTTCAAAATTATTTTGAAATATCTTTTCAATATTGAATATTAGTTCTACAAATTCATCATTTGACAGTTGCAGATTTCCAAATGTATCTGGATTGGCGTTATCATATGCCTTTAAAAAGCAATAAAAAGAAAAATCATCTAATTCAACGTGATCTTTGTTATATTTAAGACAGGTATCGCAGAGGAGTGGATCCGCAAGGCTTTTATTAAAAGGTAACCACACACATACCTGATAAAATTTTTCTGTATCAATTCGTCTTTACAATAAGTTAGGGTGTTAATAATTTTATCATAAAATAAAATACAAGGTGTTCCATTTAAAAAACATACATTTTAATTTGCCAGGCAAAAACGTGACACCCTGTATATCCAAAGATATTTTTAAAATATGTAGGTATTTTTCAAATCCATATAACTTTTATTTAAAACTTTCTTGCGTGTCTACAACAAAATAATGAACAATAACGCACTAATGGGATACCCTGTATAAATTATATTTTTAACAATGAACATTTCTTATAATGTGGTACTTATCGGTTTGGGTCCTTGGGAAAACTAAAGAATGTTTTCTTGCAGGTATAACCCTTATTAAAACAGCTTTTGACTGCACAAACAGAATGATGTCTTTTTTTTTTCACTCATTCTACTCATAGCTAAAGAGTCACCAAAATAATAACAGTACCTTTAACTCAAACAAAATCAACGAAATTATAGGCTCCACGAAATTATACAATCAACGAAATTATACGCACGACTCAACACCTTACCTAAATACGCTTCTGAACACCAAAACCGTCTTTTCCCTTCGAAGGCGGAGCTTAAGCGATGCGCGACGAAATCGACGCAAACCGTTGCCGCCAAGAGAGTGTTTTAGCTGTATTGTATAAGCTGTGGTTTTATTTTATATTAACATTTTTTTGCTATCTCCTTCTAAGACAAATAAATAAATTATTTTTGCTTATATCTATTTAGTGTCCAACAAATTATCAACAGTTTATTTTAATTATAATTTTCTTTAAATGTCATCGATTTAATTAAAAGTAAACATACAGTGGATGTCGATTTTGGTAAAAGTAAGTTGGCCGTGGCTGTGTGGATTAGAAGAACTGCCAATCTCTAAACTTTTAATTAGTACCTACCTTATAACAGAACACGACAAAAGTATACTTAAGTTCAAGATTAGATTCTAAAGCCAATTTAGCATTTTTTTAAACTCAATCAAGTTTGAGAAGGTAAAAAGTTTTACTTTTTAATGTTTGTTTACTTAAATTCAAATTTTATTTGCAGTTTATTATATCTGTAATAATCGATATGGATTCAAATTTATCTAGCGATAGCGAATTTGATAATACTCCCCCAGATATCTTATGCAGTGCACAAAAGGCCACTGAAAATTTATTGCCAGAAAAATCTGCATATATTTATCAACAAAAATACAATGCATTTATAGAATGGTCTAGGAAGAATAAGGTGACAAAATATTCGGAAAACGTTATTTTAGCATATTTCTCTGATGAATTGAAGAATTGCAAAGCTTCTACCCTATGGTCGATTTATTCTATGCTTAAAAGCACCATAAAATATAAAAACAACGTTGATATTTCGAAATTCAACAAGTTAATAGCGTTTCTTAAACAAACAAATAAAGGTTATACACCAAAAAAATCCAAAATTTTTGAACGAGAAGATCTAATTAATTTTCTGTTGAAAGCTCCAGATTCCAAGTATTTAATGATCAAAGTAAGTAAATGCTTCAGTAAATGCTTGAATGCTCAGTATAAAATTAAAATATTCTGTAAAGTTTTGCAACGAGATGTGTGTTCGTATGGTGTGTTGCCTAACAAAACCAGTTGCTGTCCTAACAGGCCACCGGAGTTGTTAGGCAGCACATTATACCTAAAACTTTTATATTTTGTACAATAGCATTTATTTGGAGTTTTACATGCGCAACGTCAATATATTTCCTAATGTTTAATAAATTATTTGTAACATTACAATATGTTATTTTTTAGGTAGCTTTTATAATTGGAATTGCGGGAGATTGTCGCCGGGAAGAATTATGTAAAATGACAATTAACGATGTGGAAGATAAACAAACAGTGTATATTGTCAAAGTATCAGAAACCAAAAATGGAATAGAACGCATTTTTACGATTTTAAATCCAAATAATTCTGCAGTTGATTATTTATCTTTCATAAAAAAATATACCTCATTAAGACCATCAAATATAAATTGTAACAGATTTTTTTTAAAATTCGCAAATGGAAAATACTCTAAACAGCCTATAGGGATAAATACTTTTGGTAAAATGCCAAGTGTTATAGCAACGTATCTAAACTTGCCCAATCCAACGGCTTTTCCAGGACACTGCTTTAGGAGGTCTTCAGCCACTATGCTGGCAAATTCTGGAGGAGACCTTCTAACGGTCAAAAAACATGGAGGATGGAAATCATCTGCTGTTGCAGAAGGCTACGTAGACAGCACAATAACACAAAAAAACAAAATTTCTAATAAAATTTTGATGGATGACAGTATGCCATCCACTTCCAAACAAAGCTACAATTTTACCGTTGACAACTCTAATCAAGAATTAGTGGAACCACTCGACAGTGAAACTAGAGTTACACAAAATATTTCAACTTCTTTACTTGAAAAGGCCAAATCCATACTCGAAGCTCAAAATAGGGTTACAGAAGTAATATCACAACTCTGTGCTGGAAAAGGTCAAAACCTTGAGTTTTGGTAATTGCAATAATTGCACATTCAATATTAATATTCATAAGAGTTAAAAACCTATTTTTTTAAATATTTCTTCATTTGTTAGTCATTTTGTTCTGTAAGAATTATAAATTTGTAAAGTTCCAATAAATTTATTTTTGTTGCTGTGTACAATTTTTGGCACATTTTACTTTTTTTCACTAGTGCGTAAAGTAAAGTACTTTTTTTCACTAGTGAAAAAAAGTAACTTTTATATTTCTAATATTAGTGGATTATGTGTACGGTAGTAGAAAAAATATTGTATGCCACTCGTGTGTAAAGTCCCTTTTAAGGGTAACTTTACACACTTGTTGCATAAATAACTATTTTACCTATATTGTAGAATATTATTAGTAATTTTTTACGCAGGTTTCCTATAAACTTTGAAGCAATGGAAATTTGGATTCATAACCCAGAATTAAGAATTGTTCAAATATATTGGAAATATTTTTTAAATTATGATTTTGTTATGAATTTTGCCGGGAATGTCTAATTCCTATTTTATTCAATTCTCAACTTGATCCGTATTTAAGTAAGTTATAATATTGTGCAATACCTCAAAATTATTCATACTGTTAGAGTTAGCGAATTAGGATATCGCCGCGACTGGGGTCGACGGCACCACGACTTTCGACCAGCCGAACGCGAGGAAGTGATAGGCCTTATGCCCTTTAAAGACATTCTTTATTTTGTTCCTTAATTAATTACATTTCAAACATTGTTTACGATATATTTAATAAAACGTTATAAAACCATGTTAACACGTGTTTTATGAAGTGGCTATACAGGGTGTTATAGTATACAGGGTGCTAAATCATTTTAAAACAATAATTTTGAAGTTAATTCTTTTAACTTCTAACAATACATTTTAACCTTGGAATTTAAAAATTAATGCTATATAAACTACTCCAAAGAGTTTTTTTATCTTCCGAAAAATAGCAAGGAAACGAATTATTATTAGCCATCGAAGGAGCTTTCAACAATGCCTCAACCAGGTCAATAACTAAGACTCTAGAACAAAGAAACGTCAGCAAGTTAAAAGGGACAATATTCTAGCTATGTCTACGAATTCAATTATCAGCCCTAGAATCCTGGAAACAGGGACCTCCCGTACAGGCTGAACTGTCCGGTAAACAGACGCCACTAACGAGCATTTAGCATCAAAAACCGGTCAAAATTATTTGAGAATTTTTTTTATGGAGATGAATAAAAATGCTTGTCTGTATACGTTTATCATATATATTAATAGTAACAAGGTGAAAAAACATTGAAATCAGGTTCAGATGAATCGGAATCATTCATTGTTCTATTTTGTCTTGAACTTCCGGTCCTTCTGCCTCGAGGAGTTTCACATGAGAAGGGCTGGCTTTTTCTCTGTTGTCGTTTTCGGTTGCAACTAAGGAAAGGATCGGAAGTCAGAAGAAGCCTATTTAAAACATCTTTATTGCACTGAATCCTTGAAAATGTTCGTGCGAAATTTTGTCGGTATAAGCGAAGATGTTTGTTGCGGGCCTCTGCAGCTTCTTCATATTGGTAGAATAGCGTGCTTTACAATTGTTGCGCCATGTACAAGAATTTTGTGCAGAATTGGATGCCACCCGTACAGCTTCACGTACATCTTTGCAGTCTCTTTGGTATATTCCGCGAACTTTGTTGGGTTGATTTTGTGGCCCGATGATAAGGATTCTAGAACAACCTTAAGTCTTTGTACAAAAACTTTCGCAATGCCTGTAATTTCTGAGGCTAGGTCTAGGTCACTAAAAAACCTTCGTGAAGTGTTGCGCAAATTGGAGTTTCCAAAACCTGCTTTTAGCATATCTATTATTAAGCCGGTCCTTTCTCTGTATTCCTTTTGGATTCGTTCCTTGTTTTCTTTAACCGCCTTTTTATCTTCAGGTGTTTTGCCTTGCCATTTTTTTAAAGGGGGTTTGTATGCAAGATGGTCCGAAGAAACGGATCCTGGCGTGAAGCATTGACAAGCCAAATCGTAACGATTGGAATTCCTCCATACCCGAATTTTCATAATCATTAAAGCTTTTTGAAATTTTTCCACATATGTGGCATCTCATTGTGGAGGTTGTGCTCGTTGCCGAATTGAACCATTGTCAGAAGCAATGTATGCCGTACATATCTCACTCCCTTTAAATTTGGTATTACGGTCTTGCGTAATTGCTTAGCTTGGTCCTCTACATATGTTATTTTCTCCTTTGTGATGTCGACAGTTTCATGCAGAAACCGAATGCGAATCGGTCGACAGAAACGCGTGTATGATGGCGTGAGGTTTTACCACTCATACTAATACTCATACAACACTGTGCAAGAGAAATACTAAATCAGCAAGTATCAGGCAAAACTATTGCCATATAATCTGAAGGCAATTTTCTCACCAGAAATCAAATCACGACTGGTAAAAGACTGTCTAGAAGACCTGGCAGAGCTAAGTAGTCAAAAAAAGGTGACCCTAGCCTGGGTTTCAGGCCATGAGGGATATCAGGGCAACGAAAAGGTGACATCGCAAGGGATACTTCGAGCATAAACCTTGCCCGTTTGCCACCGATGGAAGATGTCGCATGCCACCATGTAGCAAGGTGCTACTTCCAAGTGCAGAAGTAGTGGAGAGTCAACTTTAATCCCACTTATTGAGGGTGGAAGGTGTCTTCTCAGGCACTCACCACCATCCCTACCACCATGGATTCCGCACTTCCTGCCCTTCTACGAAAAATTTCATGTAAATGCGGTGGCAAATTGTGCATTAACGTCTCGGATTTGGAGCTGCATTCCTCGAACGATGAAGATGACCCGACTACAGACTGGGCGCCTCTCCCAGCGTCCATCACAGCCATTGAGATACTATGTTCGTGTCGAAGCCCGGGCCATCTAAGATAGAAAGGCATGATTTGGCAACCAAAACATAATACCCACATGATTTATATTAGTATTCTTGATTGTATAAATGTAATTTGTCCTTATAGTAGTAGGAAACATGATGTTTGCATAAGCATTGTAGTATATAGGTATACAAAACAATGTTTGATGATTACATGATTCCCAATAGGTATATTATCTTTTTCTTTCTTCATAAATCAATTTTTTTACAATAACAAAAATAAATAAATTGTAACTGTTTGATAAATAAAACCATAAAAAGACTTGAGAACAGTTCATTTTCTTTTTCCCCCATTTTACCCCGAAAATCGTGGTAATTACGCTTAAAGCTAGGCGTCTGACAACCCTAGCTCGAATTGTGCTCTTCCGCTGCCACACGGCATTGTGTAAGAGGTAGCCGTTTTTGAGAGAACCGCTGAGTCTACAGGTACCGGTCTGGTCTCAAATGAAAGCGAATTAAATTTACTACAACTTCATTTCGAAAAAATTATTTTTGGAGAAAAAGTGGCCTATTTTCGAAGAACTGTATTATGGGAACCAATGGCTACATAGAGCTCGCTCTTGTTTCAAATTGTAACAAATTTAGTATTCTTCAAAAGAATGTAGAGTGACTATACCAGCCAGACCCTTCCTTTACTGGGATATTGAGTAAAAACTGAAAAAAATCCGATAATTTCACGATTTTTTGGATACACCGCCGCTCGCACACCGTTTTTGAAATTAGAAATTTGGTTTTTTAATATTGGTTTAGGTCCTTATAAAAACTTATAAAAATTCAGAACGATCGGACCTTCTGCAAGCACGGATCTTGATTGGCCTATTAGGTAATATTAGGTAATATCATCTTTAGGTTATGAGATACAGCCATTATAAGTTTTTCAATTTTTATTGATATTAGATTTTTATAAACAAGCAAGAAGCTTCTCTTCAATGGGAGGTGATTGACTTAAGTTATATACCTAATGAAACTAGTAGGTATTTAAATTATTTGTATATTCAATAATAAATAGTAAGCTTAAATCTGTAGGTACTACTTTCACAAAAAAAGAAAGTATTAATCAATCTACAGAGTAGGTACTGAGAGTCCAAAATAAATAAGAAAGGACGTCGGCCATATATACGGAACAATTTATTCATCTGTTGTTTTTTTTTAACAGTTGGAAATTACTTAGGTTCTCAACTTCACAGATAGAGGGCGCAATGCTCATTATCATTGATAATAACTTGTAAAATTTTACTAATTTTGACTATCCACTCGTTTATCATTGATTATACGCATTTTGCAATCTAGCAGCGAACTTAGAAACTATAGAAAATAATTTTCATAAATTTTCTTAATCACTTGTAGGTTGTAGGTATTTTGACAATTTTTTTTCCTAAATTCTACGGCTCATAGCTTCTGAAATACCAGCGGTATTTTAGAATCAACAATAACCGGAGTCCTTTCTCATTTGAACACTCGATACTTCTAGAAAACAATGAATATCTGCTAAAATAGTAAATAAGAATAAAAAATAATTAGTGAGAAAATTAATTGATAATAAATGTTTCCCTTTAAGACTGATACGCCCATGAATATTTTCAATACAGCAGCAGAATGATAACCAGCGGTAAGCTATGTTATGCCAATTTAGGGGGTTATGATTGACGACTTATGTTATTTTTAACAGGTCTGTTATTTTATAAACACACAGAAATAACAACCTGTTTACACATAACATGTCTGTTAAAAATAACATAGGTCGTCAATCATAACCCCCATAAATCGGTGTTCTCACCCCGATTTAGAGATGGAATGATTTAGGCTTTAGCTTCACAACAAATAATACACTTTTATCTATTACTAGCTGGGGATGTAGTTGACACTTTTTAATCCTTATATATATTGTAAGACACTCTACATGGTAGAATTATGTAAAATACCTTATAAGTAACTCTTTATACACTTACATGATCAATAAAGCATTGAACGATTTGATCTACGTCCTGGCAGTTTTCTATCGCCTGTAGAAACTTTTTTTGTCGTCGATATATTTTTTCGAAGTTTCCAAAGAGATATCCTTCATAATTTTTGAGGTTAGGTGGGGTGTTATTTTCTATATAAGGTTTGTATATCTGAAAAAACAATATTCTCATTGTGTTACCTTTGATTTCAAATTACTATGATCATTGTATCTAGATAAAAATAGTTATCTAAATACAAATTAATAAATACAGTTCATCAAATTTCTAGAGGCTTTCGACGGCTAGACAGAGAAAGCACTACTGACAGGCATCCCGACGGATTTACGCAATGAAAGTACACTCTGCGCATCAAGTATTTCACTATTTCATTCAGACGCAAATGTCAGATGTAAATTTCGCTAAAACATTTCTTTTATTTTCGTTTGTGTTTTTTGCTCATTACAGTTTAATAGAACCTAAGTATGGAGTTTAATAGCAAATTAAGAGGCCGCCTGATTAACAGTCAATCTCGCGAAATAATAGCCAATGTTATAGAGTTTATGAGAAGAGAAGGAAACTTTAATTCACCTTCAATACCATTTAAAAATGTAAATGATTGTGTTGCTGCAGCCACAGGAGTATCTAAAAACACTGTCGTCCGCATTTCTGGAGAGAAAAAAAGAATCGATAACCGTGAGATATCGGAATTTTCATCACCAAGAAAAACCATTAAAAAACCAAAAACAGTTAATGATATAGATGAAGCTGCACAAGAATCAAATTTTATTTTTTTATTATTAGATAGCTATTTTTGTTTCTGAGTTGTGTTCATTTACAGGCTCAATTTTTTTCCGTTTCTCCTTTTTGATTTTATATGGGGTTTCAAGTTGTTTTTGACTTATTTCGACGTAAATCACAACAACACACTTTTTTAATAAAGCAAACAAGTGTTAAGGGGTATATGTACGTGTAAACTACAATTACAAAAAATTGATATGAAACCCATGAAACCACCAACAAAAATGTAAAGGTAGCTTCCGTACTAGAACATGGTGTCATTCGTCGAGATAATTTATCGTTTTGTTTAATAGATCAAGAAATGTAAATATTCCCCTGTTATTTTTTATAAAATTATAAGAAATAAATTTTTTTCTAAATAGTATAGTTTATTATTTTGTAGAAAAACAAAATTTCGAAAATTTTAGTAATGTTTCAGAAACAACCGTTATTAATAATAGGTACCATTTTCCTTAATAAGGTAGAAATAAAATATAAACTATTTCTACGATTTACAAAGGCTTACAAAAAAATTATAGGTATTTTCCGCTATCCTATAAAATTTATATTTTCTGACTCAATTTCAAAAGGAATTCCAAAACACCTTTTATGGCATAATAATTATTTTCAATTCTACATACTATCTTTAGCTGCTTTTAAAAACGTTCTAAGAAAGTCCAAGCAGACCAATTTAATAGCTAAACTATTCCACACTTTTAAAATTTAATTACCTAAAAATATTAAAAACTATTTTAAATAACTTGTTTAGCAGACTGTACAATAGCTATCTTAGTCACACGTAGCGCGTTCTCTGTCTGGGCGTCGAACACCTCTAGAAATTTGATGAACTGTAATGTGCTTATAATTACCTTTACTACTTTGGTTAAATCTTCTACGTATTTTCTTTCTGTAGATTTTATCTCGTCTATTATAAAATCTAGTCTAAAATTAATATTGAAAATTAATATAATAATAATAATAATGCGCTCGTGCACATGTACACTATATTTTTTCTACACTACATTTTTTTAGAGCTTACAAAATGTATATTTGCATATTTTTTGTATTGATAAATATACAGTGTTACCACAATTGTAAATTTTTCAACATTTTTTTCGTTTGCAATGTTTTTTTTAACATTTTAATTAGTTTAATCTTACCGTTTAATTGGAGTCGTAGAATTACTTCTGCTAAGAGATATTGGAGCTTCTTCGGGTATAAAAGGTGTATTTTCAGCATCAGCAACCCTTTCAATTCTAATTATACCTTTATTATCAGAAAATGTTTCCCTTCTAACATTATGGTAAACCTTTTCCCCATCTTTGGTTCTACAAATTTCAATACCTTCATCATCATCGTCGTCGTCAATTACTGAACTTTCTTGAGAAGTCGTTGAATATATGGTCGATCTATTGGAAACGGGAGCAAAAATATAAAAAGGTGACTGAGGATTATTTTCATTTGGAATTTCTATATATTCGTACAATGCTTCGTTGTTACTTGACGGTGCTAATTCTTGCTTCATTAACTCACGCATATTCTCAACGTCACTTTTATCACATAATTCTACTTTACGAACTTCTTCTTGTTTGGTTGGTATTTCTTGTTCAATTGTGTTCATATCATGAAAGAAATCGAATGTTTTGCTTTCATTGTGAGAGAAGATCCCGTTTATTGCTTCGCATCCATTTTTCAGATCATCCTCTAAGTTTTCACCGAATTCATTACTGAACCTGGAAAAATAATTCAGTAGTTGTATAAATATTATAACGGAAAGTGATAAAAAAAAATCGCTAGTATTGAGACAAATGAAAATATGTTGTGATACACCGAGTTTCATCTTTTTATCTACAATGTATATTTCCTGTGTACCTATTAATAGTATTATTAATTTGTTTTGTAGATAATTTATGTTTTAAAAATGTAAATAAACTAAATTTAGTAACTTTTATTCAACATTCAGTAACAAGTTTTTACAAAATTAAATTATCAAAGAGCTCAAATTTTAAAATGTATAATATATTAACTAACACCTCTAAATTTTAGACACCAAAATAAATTTTTTCTACAATTACTATCCAAAGTAGGCTTTAGAAATACAACCGCAAAGTTGACGTTTTCAGCCAACTGACAGCTTCGTTGCTTGCCTAATTTATTCGATCATGTATTGGAATCACAGATTTGGATAGAGGAGATAGGAAAAGGCCGTTTTCCCCGGTGTTTCAAAATAATCACACCATGTAGGCCGCCATGTTGGCAATTTAAGCGTACAACGCACATGCGCAGTTGTTGTAGTGTTTTGACAGAAGTGTCATTTATGTCAACTATTCTTGGTTTCTTTCGAAATTCGCTATTTTAGTGAATTTAAAAGAATTTTAGAAGTTTTTACTATAGACAATTAATAAAATGGGAAAGACTTGCTTTGTTTTTGGTTGTTTAAACAACGAGGATTCAGAAAACATTACATTCCACAAGTAAGACATCATTTCTACCAGAACCGTATTCTTCACCACAGTTTCATTTTCTAGAAAACGACATATCATAGTACAATAACCAACTGTATGTAGGTATCTAACGTATTTTTTTAGATTGAGGAAAAGGCGTATACTTCTTGGTTAATAGCTATTGGAAGAAATCATTGGAAAATATAAGTGCAAATAACGCTATTTGTTCCTCCCATTGTCATAAAGATGATTTAATCGTTTCAAAACGAATAGATACAATAAAAAAATAATGCAATACCTTCCATAAATATGCCTAAAATTGAAGATTTTTATAACATTAGTGTTATGAGGTAAATATATACATAAAATTATCAATTTGTTTCTTTTTATACTTTTTAAGAAAGTGATAAAAAATTGTTAATTATCCCTATTATTTTTTAGAAATTTACAACCTTCAGCTTGAACGAATATTATTAATTCAGAATCTAACGAGGAATTATAGAAGTTGTCAGTTGGTTATTTTTTATTAACGGTTTAGATGGTAATAAAAGAAGAAAAGTGGCATTATAGGCTCTTCTAAAATTGCATGAATATGGAGTTATCATCACCTAATTATCATTTGATGGATAACATTAGGTGTAAACCTATACGACCTATACAACTTTGATATTGACACTGCGACTCCATATTTCTTGCATTCACCATAGATAAAAGTACATTTTTTATAATTTTAGATGCATGTCACATACTTAAGTTGGCTTGGAATAACTGGGATAACCTTACTAAAATTGTCGAAACTAATGGCAAAATTATTGATTTTAATTATATAAAATTGTTGCATTATATTTAACAAACAGAAGGTTTACGTTTGGGTAGCAAATTAAGAGTGCCCCATATGGATTGGAGAAAGACATGAAGGTTTGTACACTTAAACGAATTTAGAAATTACAAATACTAAGTAACATTACTATGTATTGTATAAGGAAATTTGAGAAACTGTTCTATTTACTAAATTCTCGAAATCTTTTTAGATTTCAATGGAAAATGCCTTTGTCTCAAAAAACGGAGACTATATGGATGTTTGAAATATAAGCTGCAACAGAATGTATAAAGAAACTTAAAACCTTTGACAGAAGTTATGTTATTCAGTGACCGAAGAAGAATAGTGGTGTTCTAGACTTTGTTTTATAAAGTTTGTAATAGGTTTATATGACAAATATGTAAACTGTTAATATATAAACTTAGTACAGATCACTTAGAGCTATTTTTCTGCAGTATATGGAATAGTATTAGTTTAATTGTATGATGCAATTACATTTTATTTCTAGGGCTAGGTATGGATGGAACAATAATCCTTTATCTGTAAAAATTTTCCATTCATATAGACTACGATTACTTCTGTACCATGACATTAAGAATCTTAATGGCTATTGTATTCTTTAGGACCCCATCAACATTTTAAAAATGACACTAAAAAGTACAACAACAGTGCTTATAGTTTATTACTACTCTTACTAAATATAACTGAGAGAAACTTCAGAAGATTCAAAATTCTTGTATAAGATGTACTTGTAATATTCCTTATAGAAATCATGTTTCTTCGTACATTCGCAGGTTAAATAAATATAAAATTTAGGAAAGCGTAAAATATCTTTTTTTAATGTTTAAAATTCCACGATATCTTACTAAAAAGATCAACTTTACACAATGTAAATTTAAGAGTGAACACTTTTACAACCCCAATGCATAGAACTTCAAAATTCCAAGGTTGTTTTAGATACGTAGCACCATTATTGTTAAATTCAGAACTTAATAATTTGAATTTTAATCATTTTGTTAAGACTATTAGGCAAGTTCTTATTTTAAGACAATGATTTAATTTAAAATAATTATTTTGTGAACATTTTTTCTGTTATAATGAGGATCAATTGAAAAACGGCTCAGCCGAATTCATTCATTTTGAGACACTAATGTATTTATAGTTGCTCAATAAACATTATTTATTTATTTAAATATAGTCAAAAAATGTACGGTATCTTAAGCCGACGCATCAGGCGTAATAAAGATGAGACGCTTAATTGTATTTGGATGTGAGAGCGATAAAGATAGTAATTGATTTTACCATACCCTTTCGATGGCAAGCATGGGCTGTTGTGGTCCACACTCATTCGTATTATTTTATTTCTCTCTATTCAATGACATTGTGTTCCATACCTTTTTCCTGGAGCCAAGATGGAAAAGTTAAATTATTGTATTATATAGAATGTAATTAAGTTGTTAGATATTTCAGAAAACATTGTTTATATTGCAAAAAAAAATGATAAAATATTCTGCTGGCCAAGATACACTTTCTAGCGCAACAGCTAATAAAAATTATTGAAAATTATTTTTTAGGACAAAATAGGGTAATATAAAACAGTTTCGGCTGTAAGTACTAGTGTAAAACTGTCAAATTATCTTAAAAAAAAAGTATTTTTAATCACATAATCAATTACTTGCTAAAAAATGTTCATTTTCAATTAGTTTAAAATAAAAACTTGTTTCGAGAAATCAATAATTATAATTATCTAAAGAGTATCTACCCTCATAGGAAAATCACATATCAAGATTAATAAAAACATTAAAGACTTTGTTCAAACCCCAATGAAAATTTAAAAAACTAAATTTGTATTTTTTGTTCCTCATTAACTTTTATTAAATAGCTTTTTTTATTTATAATTTATTAGTGCCATTTTCTAATGTAATATAAATGTTTTATATTTAATAACCCAATATTAACATATATTTACTGTAGTATTTATTACACAAGATAAAAAAGTAAAACCCTTCGCACTTGGCAAAATCGAAGCTTTGTTACTACTTATTCTCTCACAACCTTCGTCTATGTAAGCGGGTGAATTTACCGCCTTTTCAGATTCCTTTAGTGACCGAAATCGAGAATGTCTATTTCTTGCTGATGAGTCCTAATAAGGACAAAACCGGTCCAAGAAGAACGTTATCTATAGTAAGCAAGAACAAAGTTTGAATATTGAAATATGAATTTTTCAACTTTGTTGTTTTCTTTGGATATAATTCAATGTTTGCTGAGAAATTACCCAAAGAAGTAGTTGTTTTTTGAAGGAAAACGTTAAAGTTTGGATTTATTTTCTTTTTTTAATAAAATATTTGCCTACATGCTTCTTATAATACCTAGTTTTAAATTTACTCTATTCATTCGTAGGAATATGCCCATAATCTCTTATTTATTTTGATTGATGATTCTTAATGTATGCTCAAGTGCATGTCATAGTACTGTGGAACGATATTACAAATATTTTTGAATTCCTTAGTTTTGTAGTTTTTATATAAAATGAAATACTTTCAAGATCTGAGCCATCCCACGTAATAATTACATACAAAATTACAGTTTTTAATATGAAAGTTTTATTTAAATCACGTGATTCCAGATTTATTTGCTACAAAATGTATGACGGCCTTAGTTTGTTGTATTAATTTCATATAAAATTGTATTTTAAATATATTCTGTTTTTATTTAATTTAAAATAAAGTTTCAAAAAAGTCTATGATGTTTTTTATTTTTAGAAATCTCTTAAAATCCACAAAAAAAGAAAATTAAAATTCTATTACGAGTTTTTAAGGTTATTAGTTCTACTGTGTAAGTAAATCCTTAATATTTTCGAATTATGTTTAAATGTGTTAGTCCTATCCTGTACACTTCAATATGCAATCAATGCGCAAGTGCGTAGGTCGCTTTTTTTATAAAGATGGCCGCCTTCAATTCTACGTGCCTGATGAAAATGACATTTCCTATCTCCTTTATCGATGTCTGTGATTGGAATAGATACGCCTTGTTTACATAAACAATTGTCGTATGATAATAAGGTCCATAATCGCATGCACAACAAACGATGGTACCAGCAGAGGTTGCCACAGTGTCTGCTTCGATTAAACGTATAAGGATAATAATGATTAGTTCCCAATGTTTCAAGGTTCAAGATACTTAATATGGAGCTTAATATTTAACAGTTCATTAATCTGGATCATATTCATAAAATTTCTCATTTAATTTTTTTCTACATTGAATCGGTGTTTAAATTGGATGTTTTTAGATTTTGTTCACTAGGATACATCGGTTTAACAATTAAATACTATATTTTAAGTAGACATTTGGTAACCCTGTTTGTGTATGTATGTGGAATATTCTTGTCGTTCTAGAGCAGTGGTCGCCAACCTCTCAATATGTTGAGCTACTTTGTTAATTTTGGAATAAACAGCGAGCTACCCACACG